AGTAATCCGAAACAGAACTGAAAGTAATTAAAGCTACCGATGATTTCAACAAAGAAAAGTAAAACATCATCTGTCAACGCACATATCTTTATTACACCAATATGGATAAATATAGAAGATCGAGCTTTAATCTAAAAAAGGCACACAAAGAATCCAACATTTTTTTTTTTAACAACAACACTTTTCTTATAAGTCTGTATTGGAAATGGGTCATAGAGGATACAATGGCTTTAATATTGCAGACTATTACTGGGTATATAAATATGAAAATCATGAATCCTAATCAGAATTCAGAAAAAAGATAAAATTAATATTCAAAAAAATGAATGATTAACAACTTTATCAAACAGAAGCTAGCGAAACGTAAAAGAGTTAATTCTATCATTCCCTCAAAATCCAAAGCTACACTCAGTACTCATAGGTAAAAGTTCTATTTATCATATAGTTGCAAGAATAACGAGTTGAAAAACGAATATGGCTCTCCCCGTTTAGGTTAGTCGGCTTTAGTCTTTTGTATTAATTTGTAAGAAATCAATTGCTGTATAAAATACACTTTAAACTCTTTCCACTACAAGAGAGTTCGGAATAAATGGATATTTTTTGATATGCAAAAAATCTGTTATGCTTTTTTCGTTTTTTTTTTTTTTTGTCTTGAGAGGCATTGCAGGAAAACCCCCCCGTCGTTGCGCCAATTTGTATGCAGCAAAAAAGTTAAATGGGTCAATAACTTTTAAGCCGCTTAGTGCACGGCCAGTCAATGAAGTGTAGTACAAAGCTGCATAAGTCCATTAACTGCTGTCCATTGTAAGGCCTCCTCTTTACTTTATGACAGCCCTGACAACATTTCCACTCGAACTCAACAGCACGTTTTACGCGTGTGTGTGTGCACCAAATAATCTATTTCTGATTATCAATTAATTATATTTTCATAAAATGGAGAGAAAATGAAAATGGAAATACGAAAGAGTGCAGCGTAGGCCGTTGCATAGCCTCAACGTGTTCGACTTATCTTATCAGCAGAGAACAGGCAGCAGGTCGCTTGCATTTGACGAAATAAGACGTAGCCGGCACATTTATTTATGCCCCACAGTTTGGCAAGACAAACGAGTGGCGAGGCGGCGACGATGCCCCAATGATAATAAAGACAACACAAATGCCTCGGAGCCCTAAGTCCCCAACTCCAAGACACGACGTTGTCAATTTCTATATCTATAATTTTGCTGCCTGCCTTCTTTCGACATTTACTTCCACATTGTTTACTCGAGGCATTTTACTTACTGCTTTGCGTCTTGTATTCGTCTTTTTATTGTTCTTTTTTTCATGCTTTGCTTTTATGGGCAGCGGCTCCAGCAATTGTTTACAGCATTGTGGTTTATGCACCGCCAAGAAAACTTTAACAAAATTTATTTTGTTTTGCCGGAGCCTCTGCTTCACGGTTATTTTTATGTTTACTTCACCTCGATCCAAGACGAAGGCAGAGGCAGAAGCAGAGCCCGTCCCGCCACCATCGTCAGTCCCTCACCAATTCCATCAGCTGGCATGAAAGAAAAGTGTGAATGATGGCCGCACCTAGCCAGACAGTGGGTGTCAAATGATTTGCTTGTGCCTGCAGAGCTACAGCCCCCAGCCCTGTTGCAAGCATCAAGCATCAAGCTAATGTGCAACGCTTGTTAATTAGAGGCATTGTGACGGGGGCACTAATTTCAGTTACAGTTACAGTGAGACATCGGCCAAGTTACTTCGCGCTGCCAAAGCTGCCACAGCTAGTTCGCCTTTCGCCTTTTGCGAAGCAGCAACACACATTCGTGTGTAAAATACACCCATCATCCGCCTTTTCAGCAAAAATGTACTGGCGTGAGTAAAAAATTGATGCTCTTATGATGAGCATGCTTCCACGATGGAGAATGTGCAGTTAATGTGTAGGATCGTGTTCTTACAAAGACGTACATTCGTGGCTCATTAATTATTTATAAGAACACGGAACTGGAAAGTATAATCTCATAATTACTTCTCTACGTTAATTTAAAAAATAAGCAATTTCTTTCGTAATCAAATGCCAGCCTACAAGGTGAGACATGACTCTGACTTGAAAAACTCCTACACTTCTACACCGCCCGAAGAATTACGACACTCATGGGAAATTGAAAAACTTTTTGAGAATACTGGCAGGACTGTGAACAATAAATATTCAAGCTACCACATCATATACTGATTCGAAAATGTGTTCTAAATGCAACAAACTATAAAAACCTTTGGAAACGTTTAATAAACTCTTTTTTCTCTAACAAGATGTTGAAAAAAAAAAACCCAATCACTTTTCTGGCAATGGCAGAAATTTGAATATCATTATATAATAAATACCAGCATAATAATTGTGAGGAAGTAGCGCGGTACGGCTACGAATTTGTGATTAAGACTCTATTTTTATACCCGGTACCCGTAGGGTAAAAAGGGTATATTAGGTTTGTGCAAAGTATATATATTCTTGATCAGCATGACGAGAGAAATCGATCTAGACATGTCCGTCCGTCTGTCCGTCTGTCCGTCCGTCTGTCCGTCTGTCCGTCCGTCTGGATGAACGCGAGGATCTCAGAAACTATAAAAGCTAGAATAACCAAAGTTGGCATCCAGATTCTCCTAGGTCCGAGTAAGGACGAGTTTATGTTTTTTTTTTTTAATTTTCCCCCCTTCCCCCGCTACAGAATTTCGTCAATAGCGTCCACATTTCAAATGCTACCTAAACCAAATACACACACATAATTAATATATAATTGTCTACTGTTGTATGAAATTTTATTCAATTCGGTCAATTCTAAGAAAAGTTATTAGCAAAACAAATTCTCCCCAGTGCAACCCCCCCAAACTGCAGCAACAAGTTCGCTCTTCTTCTTCCTCTTTTTGCTGCTGCTATGGGCGCATATAACTCAGTGACGGAAGTTTACATGGGTACAGGGTATTACACTGTCGGGCTTGCTCGACTGTAGCGTTCTCTCTTGTTTCGTACTGTTTAAGTAGACACTATGTCTATTATTTAAATATACTAATGCTCCCAGCGAATTAATACGCATCATAGCCATTATTTGACATTTTCGTGGTGGGGCTACTCTTTCGAATGGGATATTTTTTATATACTGGTATATTTTTCAATAATTCTTGAAATGCAAACTAGCCCCAACTAAATAAGGCAATTCAGCCTCATGATGATTTTTTATGGCTATTTGCTTTCGCCTTCGTCTATTGGGTTGTTTGCTCGTGTCTCCCCATGTTTAACTTGCCTGCGGTTTTGAAGACTCACACACTTTGTGTTAGAAATTTACATATGCCCATAAATCTTGTTTGGGATTTGACTTCGTTTGTGCATGCGTAGACTCAAAGAGGCAAGGAAAAGAATGTTTCTAAATATTTGTAGATACTTATTTGCTGGCAAAGAAAAAAAACAACAACTACTCAGTAAACAGCAACATTACGTCGTCGACGTCGTCTCCGCTTCTCTTGAGGAAGTGTCAAAAGTTTTTAGAGTATTTGTATTTGCTTGTGTGTGTGTGTGTGTGTGTGTGCGTGTGTGTATGTTTGTGTATGTGCGAGTGTACTTTGGGGCACTGACAGATGCCTGAGAGTTGGCTGTTGGCTGTTGGCTGCTCGCTGTTTGCTGTCTGACTAAAATGACAGTAAAATAAACTAATTGGCACTTAAGTAGCAGCAGCAATGACTGAGAAAATCGCAGCCATCAGGCCAAGATACAAAACTAACCAACTACAACAACCTTAGAAAGCACAAATCGGAACAAAAAGTTTGCCAGCAAACACGCCCTCCAGTGCCCCATTGGGAGCTGCACCCAACAATCTCTTTCCCTAGTCAAGATCTGTGTGGCAGTCGCAGTTAAAACATAAATTAAACCTTAGTGAGTAGCATTTTTTTTCTTTTCTTATGCATTCTCATGCTGCAATTGTTGTTGCAAGTACCGTTGGCAACAACGTCTGGGCCGGGCTGGCAGCATAAAAAAAAGAGTTGGCTCTTTCACACATGCTCGCATACATAAAGCATTTACATAAAGGTGTAGAGACTGGACTGTGGGGCAGATGGCCCATTATGTTGGCTGATTCTTAGGTCTTACAATTCTTCAAATTGAACGAATACCCAGCACACGCAATAATAACAGACAGCTAAAAATTAAGCAGTGACCAAATAGAGATCGAATAGCTAAGTAGTGACTAATAATTAACAGTGATCAATAATCGATAGTAACCGATGACAGATAAGAGAGATCGATCAGCGAGAGAAGACCGTTTAAAAAAATTGAATTTAACGAGAAATTATAAAATATTGTCAATTCACTCAACAAAATTATTATTTTTTTAGTTAATTTTTTAACTTAAATTCCAATACAGAATTGAGCACTTAAATGGAAACTAGACTTTATGTAATGTTCGCGAAAGTGCTTGATCAAAGTTTAATATTTAAGTTGCGTTGTTTTTTTAAATGAAACCGATGGGTTCTCTAGTTTATGAAGGAGGCTCTTAGAGTATGTTGTTTAAAATGGCTTTTCATTTTTTCGAAATTGCTTTCTGCTTATTTGCCCTACAGTACAAGATGTTGGCTGGGGCCGGGGCCGGGGCCAGGGCCAGACCCTAGCAACTGACTGACTGACAGTTCAATTTATGCTTCCTCTGCACTGTAAGTGCGCTGCTGCTGCCAGTTGGGCAGCGATGGCTGTGATAAAAACAAAGATTGCAGCCCCGACGACGCGTCGCAGCGTGTTTAGTGCGAGCTGACGATAAAATGCACTTAAAGCGAGAGAAACAAAAAGCAAATTCGCGTCACAGAGCACATGTACGAGTATCTGGCAGATACTTTATGCATATTTATGGTTGGAATGCATTGCAAATTTCATGCCCATGGCAATTACAGTCGGCGACAGAAACCAGAGTCCCTAAACTCAAAACTCATAAATACAATTAGTTCATTAATTCAATGACATCTGCCTCTTCGTGCCATTACAGTTCTGGAGTCGGCCAGCGTTCAGATGCTGGGCAGCAATCGCAACGAGCTACTACTCAAGTGCCACGTGGAGGGAGCCTCTGGGGACGGGCCACTGCAGATCGAATGGTATAGGAACAGTGCCAAGCTGAGCAGCTGGCAGAATGTAGAGCTGCAGCAGCATCGGCTGATCGTGAGGCAACCGACAGCCGCCGACGATGGACTCTATCGCTGCATTGCCTCCAATGCAGCGGGTCGTGTGATGAGCAAGCAGGGCTATCTCTATCATGCCAGTGCATCGAAATGTCTGCCACGTCTGAAAAAAAATCAAAAACTGCCCGAGTCTTGGAGCAAAGAAACCTTCCTCTGCCGCGGCAAGCGAGGCGGCTCTCTCGAGCAATCTCTACCAGCGCCACCTGAGGGCTTACGCATTGTGCAGGGACCTGCCGCCCAAATAACTGTCAAGGAGGGCGAACCAGCTGCCCTAAGTTGTCTCTATGAACTGCCCGCCGAGCTACTTAATGAACGCGTACAACTACGTTGGCGCAAAGACGGCAAACTACTGCGCCAAGTAGAGCTTGGCGTCCCCATAATTGCCACCCAAGAGTCCAGCAAGGATGCATTGCTTCGTGAAGATGCTCGCCTTGTGCTCCACAAACAAAACGGCACCCTAAGCTTTGGCAGCCTCATTGCCAGCGATGCGGGTCAATACGTCTGCCAATTGCAGCTGGAGGGCCACTCTCTGATCTCATCGCCTCCTGGAGCACTGGAGATAATTGAGCAACTTAAGTTCATGCCCCAACCGACATCCAAGAATCTGGAACTGGGCAGCGTGACCAAGGTTCACTGCAAGGCCCAGGGAACGCCGTCACCGCATGTCAAATGGCTGAGCGTAAGTATCAATTAAAAATTAGATTTAGGATAACGTTTCATTAAGAGCTGTACTAAGTTTTTATACAAACAAGGATTTCCTAATATTTATCAAATTATTAAAAGTGTGAAATCGAAAAGGAAGGGCTGTACCTCCCCCGCATAATCTTCTGCAAAATGATTAAGTACTGAACCCAGACCTATCAAATAATCACTTACTCACTTATTTTTCGAATTTCTTAATTATTTCAAGAACCGACATTGAATCAATACCGAAAAAAAGGTATGAGCCTTCAGCTTCCGCCTCTACTCTTCCACCTATTTTCTTTTCCAAACGAATGATTCAAATCCGAACACTTATTCAGGGCTTACACCCAATCTCAGACCCATTTCCACCCATTGAGAAAATTGAAAAACGCAACGCAGCGCTGTGCAAACTGTTGGTCGACCATCGCATATGCAAAAATTCGTTAGAGCCTCAACTCAGCTTAGTGGAGCGGCATTCGGTTCCCCTCCCCTCCCGCAGCCTCTAATGCCTTCATGCACTTGGTCGTTGTTTGCAGCTGTTCTCTGCAGCCAACCAATTTCGGCAACTGTTTGTCTATTTGCGCGGGCAACTGTCCAAAAAAAAAAGCAAAAACAAAATACATTCATACATACAAGCCAGCAACTTTAGGCATTCAATGGAGTTTTTCATTTCGTCTGGCCTAAAACAAACCCGTCACAGGTTCCCCACATGTACCGCCCTCTTGGCAAGCTTTTGCATTTTTGATGAAAACGCGTCGAACACGTTTGAAATTTGTTAGTAATAGCCATTGGGCTCTTCCTTCACTTTGGCCACAGGAAACGGACAGCAGCACATTGCCCGAACACGTAGACGACATCAATGGCACTTTAATCTTTAGAAATGTCAGCGCTGAGCATCGTGGCAACTACACGTGCGTGGCCAGCAATGCTCAGGGCCAAATCAACGCCACGGTGGCTATTAATGTGGTTGTGGCACCCAAGTTTAGTGTGCCGCCTGTGGGCCCCATTGAGACATCGGAGCAAGGTGTGGCCGTAATTCACTGTCAGGCGATAGGCGATCCACGCCCTACCATACAATGGGACAAAGACTTGCAATATCTGAGTGAGAACAATACGGATCGCCAGCGCTTTCATTTTCTCGAAAATGGTACTCTGGAAATCCGTAACGTGCAGGCGGAGGATGAGGGCCGTTATGGTTGCACCATTGGAAACAGTGCAGGTCTCAAGCGTGAGGAGGTACGGTTGCTCGTCAAGGGCAGCGGAGACACCTTTGTCACTGAGGAGTCCGCTGGTGATGGCTTTCTTGTCACACGTGCCGTGCTTATTACAATGACCGTAGCCTTGGCTTATATCGTGCTGGTCGTGGGCCTGATGCTCTGGTGCCGTTATCGTCGACAGGCGCGCAAGGCCCGCCTCAATGAGCTGAGCACAAAGGAAGGCGGCGCTGGCGACCCGGCCGAATTGGGTCTCAACGGCAAGGCAGCCGAGCATGAGCCTTGCCTGCCCGAGGGTGGCAAGACTAAGCAGCGGAATGGAAGCAAGCCCCGAAGTGGTGGGGGCAGCGGTGATGCTCAGAAGTCTGACGATACTGCCTGTAGTCAGCAGTCGAGAGCGTCCAAGAAGTCCTCACATATCTACGAGCAACTTGCCCTGCCGCGGTCCGGTCTCAGCGAGCTCATACAAATTGGACGAGGCGAATTCGGCGATGTGTATGTTGGTAAGCTGAAGGCATCTCTGGTCACGCCGTTAAGCGATACGGACAAGGATGCGGACACGGAGAAGCACAGCAGTAGCGAGAATGGCAGTGGCGCTAGCGGGGCTAGCACGACAATGAGCACGCTTAACGAGAAGCGCCGCTCGAAGACATCCATGGATGACATTGAAGAGATCAAGGAGGAAGAACAACAGGACACGAGCAGCAACGCTGATCAACGATTGGTGCTGGTCAAGGCGCTGAACAAGGTAAAGGATGAGCAGGCCTGCCAGGAGTTCCGTCGTCAGCTCGACTTGCTGCGCGCCATTTCTCACAAGGGCGTCGTCCGTCTTTATGGATTGTGTCGCGAAAAGGATCCTCATTATCTGGTGCTTGAATACACAGATTGGGGTGATCTAAAGCAGTTCCTGCTGGCTACTGCCGGAAAGGTGAACACAGCGACTGCAACCAGCTCCACACCTCCACCCCTGACCACTAGCCAAGTGCTGGCTGTGGCGTATCAGATTGCACGCGGAATGGATGCCATCTACAGGGCACGCTTCACCCACAGGTGCGTGCGACAGTTGCGCTCCTAATTAATGCATCACATTTTAAAAACATCCCCAACCCTTTTCGTACTCTTTTCCTCCACAGAGACCTGGCTACTCGTAACTGCGTCATCTCCAGCGATTTTATTGTAAAGGTGTCCTATCCAGCTCTTAGCAAGGACAAGTACAGTCGCGAGTATCACAAGCATCGCAATACGTTGTTGCCCTTACGTTGGCTCGCACCCGAGTGCATACAGGAGGACGAGTATACCACCAAGAGCGACATCTTTGCCTATGGGGTCGTAGTGTGGGAGCTCTTCAATCAGGCCACCAAGCTACCGTTCGAGGAGCTAAGCAATGAACAGGTGCTGCAACGTGCACAGACGGGTGAACTGAAGTGGAGCGTCGCTGAGGGCACACCCTCGTGCCTCAAGGATATTCTGGTATGTATTTGAGATGGGCGTGTGACAAGAACTGACAACTTTCATTTAAAAAAGTTATAGAACCCAAAAAACACTTATAATTTGAATTTGTATGCAGATATTTTTTCCTCCGTACCATTAGAAATTAATCTGAAAAACGCGAATCTATCATCTTTATAATCTTCATAGCTATGCAGCAATTAATTTTTGAAATATTTTGTATACATTTGTTAACTTTTCATTCGTTTCTTTTTAACGTGAATTTTAAATTTTGTTGCGTAACTAGCTAACAATCCTTCAATCCACGGGTTGTTTAAAAGAAAAAATAAGCAATTCATTGACTTCCCTCTCACGGCCACACCACCAACCGGTCCGTCACTAATGCCGGTCATTGCTCATGTAACGGCGCATAATTAATTTACCCTTCTTCCTCTATCCGTCTGTATTTACTTGCAGCTATCCTGCTGGTTGGCCAATCCAAAAGAACGTCCATCGTTCAGTCAGTTGGGCGCCGCTCTGAGCAAAGCCATGCAAAATGCTTAGCTTAACTGACGACACAGTGTTGGTAAACGATGGAAAACTGTTTTGCTGACTACGCCAAATATAATTCATAGCATAGGTATTTCGATCATTTTAATGTAATTTAACTTAAATAAGTGCTGCGGACATCATCTTCGGCGCTTCAAACGTCAACGTACTGAGTTTTTACTTATTTTAATTATTAAACATAAACAATTAGTAGGCGCATGTGTAACATGCGTTTTTAATTAATATGATGGCTAATCATTTTAGGGTTTTAATTGTACAAAATAAACAAAACACGATATCTTTCTAAAGTATTCAAATGTGGTGCTGCATATAATATGCAGCTAAAATGTATATAAAACTGCCACAACACATGCATTTCAACCAGTTGAAGCATTTTTAGTATTAGAGCTAGCATTTTAAACTGAACAACAATGCATTTAGCATGTTTACTTAAATTAAATAATTAATATTTAATTATTATTATTTTTAATAAGTAGAAAAGCTATGTATTACAAAAATAATATATAAAATCAAGTATTTAAGCCACTTAGCTCTAGGTGATAAATATACATAAATACAAAATCATTTTGATTCAAGCAAATACATCGAGTATTTTAAGCCAAACTTCACCAATTTCTAAGCTAACATTTTATATTATAACATATACTACTTACATATTATTGTATTAGTACGTTTAGAAGCGTAAAAATGAAAAAAAAAAACTATTTGTAAGCCGTAACAAACTTATAACCCAGCTACTATTTAAGGTTTGATGCATGTTTACAAAACATTTAAATGAAATAAACACAAATAAATAAAAATAGGCCACAGAAGGAAGAGAAGAAAATCTTGAAAATCATCAGCCAAAGCAATAATGCAAATAAAAAGGAAAAATCTGAGCGTCTGAGCTTTTAACTTGGCTTCGCTCTGTAACTACTTTTTATAGACATTTCATCTGGCGTGGCAAATTTGTAGGTTTTCCTCTTGGGGCAGGCGGAAGGTGGGGACCAGGCGCCTGCACGGCCGGCCCAGTCATTCACACTTCACTTGATTTGAAAAATGAATGAGCGCCTAGTCGAAGCAAACAACTCGGCAATAAACCGTAAAGTTGCCTCAGCTTATTTGGGCTCAAAACTTGGGCGGAAGTTCCTAGGGCGAAGGCGCCTACGTTGCGAAAAAGTTTTGTGAAAACTTTGCACAGGCTGTGCGGCCGATATTTGCATTTGAATCAAGAACAATAACAGCAACAACAACAACAACAGCAACGGTGTGGAAATGGTAAAAACACCGTTACACAATAAGCACACAATTTTTTGTTGCCTACTCTGAGGCTCCTCAGCTATTCCCGGCACGTACCATTCCTGCTGTCATGAATTTCAAATGCCTAAGCGCTCTCGTGCTTACGTTTCGCACGTTGATTGAACAGTTGGCATGAAATATGGCAAGAACAAACAGAAAACAACAACAAACAAAATCGCTTGCTAACAAGGCATTTAATAATTTGCCAGCTCCTATTGCCGCCATTTCCTTATTCAGACGCAATTAGCAATGGGCTAGCTATGAACGGCACTAAAATTGTTGGCCAGCTTCGAAAACTTTATTGCATGTCCATTCAAATGATTTGTCTGCCTCCTTGCTCACTTTATGGCCAGCCATTAATAACTTAACTCTGGCTGCATTCAGCATAACGTACACCAACACCAACGTACTTACGAGTATGTGTATGTTCTTGTGTGTGTATGTGTGTTTATAACTGTTTGTTTGCCGTGTGTTTTGCATGGCTAGCCAAATGGTCTGGCAACAGTTTTAAAAATACATGCGGCCACATGGCGTATGCGCATTATTTTGACAGCAGCTGCCATAAAGTGCAGGCAGCAGCAGCCACAGCAGCAACAACAAAACCTAAGCTCAAAAACGGACACATGGTTTAATGCATACACTCACTCACTCGCTCAACTCACTTATACAGAAACAAATGGCATTTCATATGCTTTTAAATTATTAATATTTTATAAAGGCACAGCAAAAAAAAAATAAAAATTCATACAAGCGTAAAATGTGCATTACTCATATGCTGCATAGGAAATTTTCTTATGCAGATACACACACACACACACATACACATATACACAAATACGCATGAGCTGACCTATGGCACTTTATTATGCCTTTTACCTGCGCGCAATATACATAAATTACGCATTACGCATACGCCATGCTGTACATTCGCATGCTTGAAATTTATGCGCTTTAACAGTAAATGTTTGCCATATAAATTACAAACACAAAATGAGCCCTTTTGTATGCCAACAATGGCACACAGACACACAGCAACACACACAATTGGGTTACCCAGCCCACCTAAGTGACTCGAAAATTGACTCGCGCTCCTGCTCGCCCAACACCGAACAGCAACGCCAGCGGGTCTGCAGATTGATGGCACGCAGGCAACAACTTCAGCTTCAACTTCATACCGCATCTCATTATGTAGTCGCCAAAAACATATTTTCGCATTCATCACAGCCGGAATGCACGAAGGAATGAAACAAAAACCAAAATAGTAGGTAGCTCTCCAGGGGTCGACTGTGGAATGCTCTGGCGCTTTATTTGCGATACAATTCTAATGGGCACTAGAATAACTAAGCAAAAACATAAAATTACATATTCAAACCCTTCTCAAATGTGAGTTAATGACGCATATGGATACAAATGCAAGTGACAAAGGTTTTCGAATCAAAATGAAATATCAATTATCGTGTAGTTTAATAAAAATTGAGATGTGGTTTTTATAAATTATTTTTGTTTAATTTAAGGCGATAAATGAAATGCAAAATGCAGCGTAATTCACGCATGTTCGTTTTTAAATTTTAACACGAAATTCATGCTTTATCGGTAATCTTTTGCTAGTAATTTCTAAGAAAGTTAATTATAACTAATAATGAAAAGCAGCAAATAGGAATCAGTTCTTTGTTTCAAAACCTGACGTGATGATTACCAGTATACTGCTCTGTGAAAAACATTTCCACTTGCGATAAAAAAATAACTAAATACTGAAAAGTTGAAATATTCAAATGCAACATCAAATGTGTTCAAAAAGTAAAATAGTTTTCCAAAATTTTCAGAAACAAACAGAGTTTAACTATAATAATATAAAATAAAAGCAGTATAGTTTTATAGTCACGTATATAGTATATTTTCCATTTATTTACATATAAAGTTAAATATAATGTGCGTCTCTATATTTTTCCCATTTCATACACAAAGGGTATGGAAACTTTTTAGAGCATATGCACAAGCGCTTGGCACCTACTTCGGCACATAATTGAAGCACATCGCAGACGCATTTGTTACTGGCTCACAAATCTGCATAAGTATATTTCTGACAGCTCGCCGGGCAACATTGCCCTGGGAGTCGCCCTGTTTAAGCCACATTTTACAGCTGACTTGGTTTTTATGGCATTCGCATTTCATGTGCGAAATTCTCAGCAAATGTAATTAGTACATGCGCTCAATTTGACTTCCAGACTATGCCAGAAACTTTCAATTGTATGTTTTTGGGCAAAGTGAACTATGCTGCAATTATAACGCATTCAAAATTTCATACTCGTATGAAAGAAGCTTTTCAAAAAATAAATGTGAGTGAGCTACGCAAATCCAACCCCAGAAAATAACCGGCAATCAGCGAACGCCCCCTTTTGGAAACTTCGCATGCCACACGTTGCTGCAACTAATTTAATTACGTATTCCATTCATCTTAGTTGCTCTTAGAAAATTGCCATGCACAGTACTACAAGTAAATCAGAGTCAGCTGCACTCTTGAGCGTCTTGAGTGCAAAGCTTTTTTGAGCGCATAAATTTAATGAAATTAGTTTCAACTTGCTTGAGTCCCTTGCCTGCAGAAAATAATCATATTTTTCTCGCTATTTATGGGGGCTGTTTGGCAAGTGCCCTATATACGTGAAACAGCCTCATCCTTCCTAATGTCGACGATGACGTTGATGATGACGATGCCGATGAAATTGGCGACTGTTTGACTCGACGCGTTTGGGTTGATGCCACTTTACGATTATTAGAAGATTATGTTTACTTAATTTGCAGCGACGCGCGACTGCGCATCCGAGCGCCGGCATCTTGTGCCTCAACAGAGTCTCACAATGGGGTCGTACTCAAAGACAAGCGAAAAAATGGTTGGCTCTACGGATAATTCCCTAACTTAAACTTTGTTCGTTAATATTAAACAATAATCAAAGCTTTTAAATGAACTCAAATTCTTTGGAGTTCCTAATCCCTGATACCTTAAAACCCTTAGATAGTTATGTTTTTATTTAAATGCTAAATTTAGAGTCAGCAAGTTAATTAAGAAAGTCGTGTGATTTTCTAAAAGCAAATTTCATGCAACATCCTTGTCGAACAAGTAAAAATAAATAAACTACATAAATATATTAAAAGAGAATTTCAAGAACAACAATTTAAATAATTGTATGTGCTTCTTATTAAGTTTCTAAATTAATTGTTTAGTATCAAAGTCAGGTTATAGGTATGTATACCTAATAATATATATAATATATATATGTATTTATTTTGGTTAAGCACACTTCAAGTTTACATCCGTCTTGCACAAGGACCGATCAAACATTAATGTTCTCTTTATTTCTTGTGTACCTCTGAGAGCGGATCTGCTCTCAGTGTGTACACTAATGCTTGTCAAACTATGTATAAAAGTGTGTACCCCCCACTTTCTAGGGTGAGTATAGTAACGACTCACTTCAATTTCAATATCTTTCAATAAAAAGCAGTCTTTTAATTAATTTTAATTAACTTCTTGAATGCAAGTTTAAAAAAAAGCAAAGTTGTTTTATTATTATCATATTATTTAATTAATTATCAATTATAACACCTGAATTTGTAATAATACCGTTAGCGACAGTAAATTATTTTTAAAAAAATAGTAACACTTCGATTAACACATTCTTGATTTCTACAGGGAAATTATTCAATTTGAGACCATTGTTTTAATGTGTTGGGACATAATGACAACTCAATGTGAGCTGTGCGCGTTATGGAAAAGGTCAATGAAATTCAAAAACTAATTAGCGTTAAATGAGGGTAAACTTCCAAACTGGCTTGACACTTTCCGCCCTTTGTGTGCGAGAACAGTGG